GAAGGAAGGAAGGAAGGAAGGAAGGAAGGAAGGAAGGAAGGAAGGAATAAGTTAAAGGCACCATGTTTGCCAGATGAACACAGTTTTATTGGAGAGAAACACATTAGAAATCTCTCCTACTGGTCTTTTAAGAACCACAGATAAAAGGGCTCTTACCTCGTTTCCAGTTACATAAATCAGAACAAAAATATACGCTTTGTAGGTTTGCATCATTTCTGAGAAAAAACTGAATTGGGCTAATGTTCTTTAGAGGGAAGTTCAGGGTTCAAAAAGTGACTGCACAAAGGAATTCTGAAGTTTTATGTGAACTTACAAAAACTAGTAAAAACTACACTCTCATTGAATTTAAGCTATTAATTACCAACACGGGACTGTATACATTTATTTAAATGTATTTTTCTTTGTATAGTTCAAAGACAAGTGCTACTGTGCTACTCAACAAATGAACTAAACAACAACAACATGCAATAAGGCCTAAACAGTTAATGTCTCACAGTACATTTCTGCCAATGATCTGTGTACTGCTGTCAGGAAGAAAAGAATAAGTTTATATCTTAGGACATATTTAATCAAATAAAAAATGCAAACTTACCTGCTCACAGTAAATAAACTCAAGACATTAGTCATTTTGAGAGCTTCATTAGAGGCAATAAGTAAGATAAAAGAAATTACAGAATTCCAATTGAACAACTTAGATTTCTGGTTTTATGAAATATGATAATCCACTGTTTCCAGCACTTTGAAGAAATTATGAGGGTTGCTTATGGTTGGTTAGTTTAAAATTTCTGAAAATTTGCTCCCTGGTAGAGTAGCTTTGCAAAAACTAAAACATGCTAAATCACTAATTATCTGGGAAATAATAAAGACATTATTGTCTATGTCCTAAGATTTTACCTGAAGTCTGAAATATGCTGGTTTTCTGGCATTTCAAATTTTCTATTAAAAGAATATAAATGTTAACAAGATAATTCCTGTTTTATCTATTAGATGATCCATACATTGAAATTTTGACTAATCTGTAGAAGGCATAGTGCTTAAGCAGTTTTTTATTCCAGCATTATTTTTATTCTAAGCTTATGTTATGTTTGAGTTTGCAGTTATCTGAAAGGAAACTTGAGCAAATTTTATGACAAAGTGCTATGTTTTTTATTTCTGTTCTGATTTAATGTCTCATGTCTTCTGCAGAAACTTATTACTGTTGGGAAAACTTCAATAACTTGGACATTCTGTTTTGTTTTGTTTTGTTTTTCCTTTTTGCTCACAGTTCCAAAGACACCTCCAGCTAACGTAAGTGGCAGAAGTGGAAGGCGACATGAATTAGTAATTGCATGGGAGGTAAGGGACTTATTCTAATTAAAGGGTTTTTTTCATGTTAACTTCTTTGACAACAAAGTAAAGAGTGGTGTACTGGAGTTTCCTTACGGCATATCTTGTCAACACAAAAACACAAAATACTGTTCTTAAATATGTTCAAAAATTTCAAAGTATTGGGCATTTTTGTATGGTTTGAATAGAGGACATTATGGCAGCAGCTCCAAAGTTGTGCTAATTTGTAAGACTTTTCTTCCTGATTTACTGCTTGGATTGATTTGATTTTTCTGGATCTTATGTAAACATAACACCTGATGAAACAGTAGCTAGGGAAAGAAAAGGAAAGCCTTATAACTTTCACCTTCAATTGAGAAATAATTATTTTTAATTAAATCATAAAAACATGAAACTGAAGAGATGAAATAGACTTTTGTTTTGACAAGATAATTGTGTTGCAAGATGCAACACAGGTGTATGGCCATGCCAGTGGGTAGTTGGAGGAGTGGGAGTCGTGTTCTCTGCTAATCATAAAAAACCCAGTAGAACAGAGATTTTCCTTGAGTTTTCAAAACTTCTAGATTCATCATGAAGAGTTTCAGATTCAGTATATATATATATATATATATATATATATATATACACCTATACATAAACTCAAGAAGAATTCCATCAAATAAAGACATGGAGTTTTAACGAAAAAGGTCTTAGCTTAGGCAGTTTGAAGAGATATTCATATAGTAAGAGACACACAGAATTCTGATTATCTGTTTTAACTGGCAAATTTTAGTCTGTCTGAAGAGGCTGCCTTCTGTTGGCACATCTGTCTTCTCCAACACAAGCTACCTGAGACAGCTGTGACAGTTGATTTCAGATTGCTTTATAGATTATAACCATAAATAACAGCAACCCTCCTATTCAGAGAGAATTTACTGAATCCCAAACAAAAATATCAGGTGGCTAGAACTGTATCAGACGTGAACTGGCCTAATCCCAGTCCCTAATATAATATAGTAGTATGCAATATTCATGTTGAGTGTCTTTATACTGTTTCCTATGTGATTGGGGTGGGGGACTACTGGGGTGAGTCATATCTCACTCTCTGTCAAGGGACAAAGTTTTCTTCCTAAAGAAACCACAGATACAAAGTCTGTCTTATTTTCGCATCCTCTGCCCTTGGACTCATGATTTAACTCAATTGGGCAGTGCATAGCTTCAGAAGGATGGGTAGAAAACTGTGTCTACAAGTGCCTGATGATGAGACACTAGTTGCAATGGGGAGGGGAGAGGATTTAGTGTCCCCTGGGCCTCTGCTTTCATTCAACGTCCATTAACTACAAATCTATGATGGGCACTTCAAGAGAGGGAGTTTAGACACCCATTTCTGGGCATTTGCCATAGGTCTAGTATGCTGACAGATGTTAAACCTAGCCTAATCCCTAAACTAGTCCATTGACTTAATAATAAATGTAAGCTACTGCTAATTTACTAATTAGCACAAAAAGTTCCAGTGATTGAGCTGGACATCGAAATTTTAGTTTTTGGAATGCTCCGACTTTAGAACAGATAAATTCCTTTTCTAACTGCCTGCTTATGGCAGATGTGTCCCACATTAAGTGGCTAATTGCACAGGTATTCTGAGGAGAGAAAATAAAATGAGGGGTTTTTTGTTTTTTTTGTTTGGTTGTTGGGTTTTTTTTTAATTAAAAAGAGTGAAACAACTGTTTGAGAGTTAAAACAAATAGAATTATTACATTATGTCCTAAGTCTTAGGTTGAACTCCGGACTTAAATCCCCAAGACTTAACACCCCATTTGGACACAGAAATTAGATAGACTGGCACCTACAAACCAAGAAAGTCCCACTGTAGTAGGAGTCATACACATCATGTTATTCACAATATGTTGCTCTATATTTTTAACAAGGTCGGTGGTAGAGGTTATTTCACGAATAGACAACAGGATTCCACCAATAGACAATAGGTTAAAGCATTAACCACAAAGTGGGAGATATAAAAGAAAATAATTTTCTGAGTCCAAGAACTCATTCAGTCCTAGGACAATGACCTAACTTCAGTGATAAGGTGAGAAAACTCTCTCACCCTAGGTTCTTCTTTGGAAGCAATTGTCCTTATAAGGACAATTTGCTTACCAGGTATGGTAAGTAAAATCCTATAATGCAACTGTGACTGCTTTTTAAATTAGTAAAACCTTGTCTCATCATTACCTGGACTTAATTTTTCAGCCAGTGTCAGAAGAGTTTCAGAGTGGAGAAGGATTTGGATATATTGTAGCCTTCAGGCCAAATGGAACTCGTGGATGGAAGGAAAAAATGGTGACATCTTCAGATGCCTCAAAATTCATCTACAGAGATGAAAGTGTGCCACCTCTGACTCCTTTTGAGGTGAAAGTTGGTGTTTACAACAACAAAGGAGATGGTCCATTCAGCCCTATTGTTGTCATCTGTTCAGCTGAAGGAGGTCAGTTCAACATGAAGTTAAATTCCATACCATGAAGTATATTAAGTTATATTTTTATATAATGTGTCCTCTTATGCCATGATTTTTCAATCTTAAATTTTAAATTTCTTTGCAGAAATGCTAAATAACATTAAACATGTTTTACAGAGAAGAAGGTGAACTAACTTGCCAAGGTTACCTAGAAAGCAAATGACTAAGATTAGGAATAGACTTCAAGGACATGTTCATTTCCTGGTTAATGGACTCCCAAATCTGTGTTCTCGAAGCCTAGCCATGATGATGATGAGGGATACTAAAAGTGCACATAAATATAGTTTTTCTTGGTTTTATTATTTTTTATTTTCTCTTTTTTATTTCATTAGTGTAAAAGTTCTGACTATACATTAGTATGCCAGTATTCAGTGTGAGTTATAGTAATAGGTCAGAAGAACAAATGAAAAATATTTTTTTAAAATTTCTGTGGAGAAATGATATAAATTCTCAACAGTTTTTTTTTTTTGGGGGGGGGTTGGGGGTTTTTTGGGGGAGGGGCAGGAGAAAAACAAACTATTTGTACTAGTAAAAGAAGTTGTTCTGTTTTTGACAGGAGGGAGTGTATAGAAATTTCCATGCACACAAAAGGCAAATAAATGTTATCCAAAATAATATTTTCAGCAACTCCATTGCTGGAATTCATAAACTTCAAGGTTTTTTCCAAGATACTGTCTATGGTATCTTGAATTATCCCACTGTCTCCTTTGAAGAGAATAAGACAAGCAGAGTCCTACTACCGATGGGAGGAATTTCATACTCTCTCTACGAAAAAGTAGAGTGAAGATGATAGTAGTATGCCATGTGAAGCTGGAAAACATTAAATGCTATTCCATATTTACCCACAATAAATGTGCAATTTTGGAGCCATGATGTAGCAGATGCTATCTGCTACTATTCTCTCACAGTAACTACAGAGGTTGGAGATGTTGATTTTACTAAAAGCAGCTCCAATAATTTGGTTTTGTTCCACTTTTTGAATCAGCATTACCAAGTACTCATATTTTTATAGAAACAATTACATTTTAAAGTACAAAAATTGAGCAGTACAACTCGGAAATTGTACAGTTGACTTCTCTCTTTCTCAATGTAAACTGATACTGTGAGACCAATGGCGATGGTTTTATTTTTTAATAATTTCATATTCTCATCAGAAAGTTCATTGTAAATATGTTTTTGCAAAGGGAGAGGTAAAATCTTAATTTTATTCTTTTTTAGTAGCAAAAATTATTTTAACAAAATCTGTGTTAATAAACAGAGCTGATTTGTAATAAGTGGTCCTTTGCCTGTTATTTGGACAAGATTGGAAACAGAATAATTAGTAATACATAAATTATTTTTTTCTAGAAACCAACTTTTCTGATTATAATTCAATTACTCGAAAGTACCTACTTGCTACAGCTTTACTAATTCAGTCTCTATATGTGTCTGTACATTAGACTTTTCTTTGGTAAGAGGAATTCTATGGGTCTAAATACTTTACAACACATATTTCAGGAAAAATATGTTTTGCTCTGGTAATACAGTGCAAAATTAATTTACAAAAAGCTTTTCTCCAGAATAACCCTAGGTGATATACTGAAAATTTAAAGGAGTAATGAAACAGTTTATTACAGATAAATTCTGGGCAATATGGAGATTGAGGATGATAGACAGTGCAGTTTGCTATAAAATGGGGAACTGCTTTCGAAAGAGGTATGGACTATCATGCTTAAGGAGCTAAACAACTGAAGGCACCATTTTTCAAGGATTTCTATTGAAGAGTAAATATTAAATAATGATTGACAGTACAATATATTATGGTCTTGGGGCTGATCCAGCAAAACCTTAGCTTACTTGCATTTCATCACACACTGTGTGTTTTCTGATTGACATTCAAAGCCTGTTTGTGGTGGCTCTGAGTGGTTCTTAAACAAGCAGCTTGGCAGGTAGTGTTAAGCAAGTTCCCCTCAGTGAACACAACAGAATGCCCTCTGATTACATAAAGTGAATCTGACCAAAGTAAAAGGCTTAAAAACATTACCTTCTGAGTAAAGCGATGCAGGAAACTTCACCAGAACACTGAGCACTCTTTCAGTAGTAAATAGAGTGGCTAATCTTTTTATCTCTATTAATTTAGATCATATAGTAGAATCATAGAATGGTTTAGGTTCAAAGGGACCTTAAAGATCATTGAGTTTCAATATACCCTGCCATGGGCAAAGAACCTTCCACTAGATCAGGTTGCTCAAAGCCCCATCCAACCTAGCCCTGAACACTTTCAGGTTTGAGGCATTCATAACTTCTCTGGGTAACCTCTTCCAGTGTCTCACTACCCTCACAGTAATTCATTTGTTTTTAACAACTAATCTAAATCTCTTCTATTTTAGTTTAAAATTCCCTATTGTCCTGTCACTATCCACCCAGGTAAAGTCGCTCTCTCTTTTTTGTAAGCTTCCTTTCAGTACTGGAAGACTGCTAGACAGTCTCCACAGAGCCTTCTCTTCAAGATTAACAACCCCAACTCTCAAAGTCCATCTTTACAGGAGAGGTGTTCCAGCCCTGTGATCAACTTCTTGGCCCTCCTCTGGACCTGCTTCAGCAGGTCCACATCTTTCTTGTGCTGAGAACCCAAGAGCTAGATGGAGCACTTCACATGTGGTCTCGTGAGGGCAGAGTACGGGGGGAGAATCCCCTCCCTTGACCTGCTGGCACACTACTTTTGCTGAAACTCAGGATGTGGTTGGTTTTCTGCATTGCAAGTGCACGTTGCTGGCTCATGTCCAGCTTTCATCCATGAAAGGTCCCAAGTCCGTCTCCTCTGGATTGCTCTCAATTAGTTCTTCTAGCAGTCTGTATTTGTACGTGAGACCGTTCCAACTCAGGTGAAGGACCTTGCACTAGACCTTGTTCAAACTCTTGAGGTTCCCATGGGCCCTCTTCTGTAGCTTCTCCAGGTCTCTCTGGGTGTCGCTTCATCCTTCAGGTGTGTCAGCTATATCACTCAGCTTGGTGTCATCTGCAAACTTCCTGAGGGTCCACTTGATCTCTGACTGACCATGTCATTGATAAAGATAGGAGAGAGCTCTGAGGGACACCACTTGGCACCAACCTCCACCTGGACGTAGAGCCAATAGATATTCAAAAGACAACATAATGTCAGTGGTTACTGAAACATCAATGTTGATAGTAACTGTAGGAAATGAAATATATGTAGGTAACACCAAGATGGTCATGATCAGCAGCTGAAATGTGAAGAATAGATTTATACCATCATTTCAGGGACATACATGCATACACTGCCAAATCCAACTTAGCAGAGGCAATAACATGCCACACAGGCTTGTGCTTTGTCTTACAAAAGACTATCACGGGCTGTGTTTTCACAATTCTGAACTCTCTTCTCTCCCTTGACCTCACGCCTGTGAGAAAGAATGCTTTTAAGTTTTTAACAAGATTCTGTTATCTTTTTTGAGAGAATTCCATTTCTTTCAACAGACAGAAAACAACTGGAAAGAAACTCAATATGTGAAATTTCCCACACCAAAAATATTCTTAACATTTCCCAGCTCCAGAGTCACCTTGAGTAAAAACAACTAAAAGTAACTATCTCCTCACTAATCTTCCATTTTCAACCCCTTCCTCCAGATAGTAACCCAAAGATAAAGAGAGGAGAAAGCCTGACTGGTCATAGATATTTTAAGACTTTTCTTCTCCTTCATCCATCTTTTGACTTCATAGAAAACATCACCAGGATACAGTTCATGGCGAAGACTCTCCAAGAAGTAAAAGTGCAGATGAGTGTAATGGAAGAATAGAGAATAGAATGGAGGTTCAGATAAAAAGGTTGTACAAAACTAGATAGATAATCTATGGATAAAAAAAGCAAATGCGCGTGACCTTCTGGAAAAGGTGTCTTAATGCAGTAGGAAAGTTTGAGGGAGGAGTCTTTCCTGGAGATTTTAGCAAAGGAAGACAGCAAGCAGTTAAAGAGAAAAGAAGAAAAATAGAGGTCAAATGTAATGACGCAACTGAGATGATGAGAGACAGGAAGCAGTTCTGGAGAGGGAATGAGGATGATGCACAGAAGATGCAGGATAGAAAAACGATGCACAATTACCTTCAATAAGAAGGCAGAACAGAAGGACACAGTAGACATGTTCCATCCAGCACCAGGGAAAGACAAGCCTAAATCTTTCATAAAGGAAAACTTTATTAAGACAAAGAGATATCAGAGCACGTGGAGAGTAGAGCAAATGAATCTACTTACCAGGAGAAAGGTTGCAGTGTGCAGGCCTGAGGCTGAAGAGAATTGTGATCAGAACAGGCAGAAATCTTCTGACCATACTTTCTACCAGGAAAATAAGGTATTGATGCTAGAATATACTGAAACAGCACTGAAATTCAGTGCAGGCACAGGCTATTTTTATCCACAGAGAAAAAAATTGTAAAGGCACAAGATAATGAAATAAAGACATAAACAAAAGCAATGTTAGCACCATTTGTTTTAATATTTATGCATTCTTTTTTACTGATGACTACATTCCAGACCATCCAATACTGAGGGACTAAGAATTCTAAGACTACTCACACAAGCTTTCAGTATCAAGGAAATCATATGCAATCTCTATGTGTGGTTTTAATTCACTGGAAAGTGAAAACTGGAAAAATCATAAATATAGCAATGGAAAAGGAAGTAAGAGTGTAAAGTTATGATGGCAAGAAGACGGAAAAGACTGTACTGGTTACAGTGATGGCCAGGTTGTCCATGACTAGACAAAATATGAGATGCACAGGAAAGACAAAACAAAAATAAAAGATTGGATGTCATAACATGCTGATGATGTGATAACATATCAGGAAATACAAATGCAGTGTTTGGATAAAACAGAATAACCTTGGGTTCCATGTAATTTTAGAAAAGGGCAATTAAAGAAGCTGGAAGTCAAACTAGAGACCAATTGCTGATTACCCTGATCAATTCAGATTCT